TGTTGATCGGCGCGTATTGAGTGTGCGCGTGTTTTGTGTGCAGTCGTCTAGGTTGGACGTAACCGTTACGTTCGCCGTGAAAATTTGTAGGCAAATACCGTTTGTCGACGTATATTCCGTTCAGTTTGTTCGTTTTGCACATCGTCGCCGTTGATTTGGTCTCGCCGTCATTTTTATACGTTGCCTCCATTTTCAGGTACTTTCTTTTTTACCTTTTTTTTTTTTTTAATTTTTTTTTACTGTGTTATAACCTCATTTTTACTGGTTACATTAATTTCGTAATTTACCTCTTTTGGTTACATGTGGCAGACTTCCAGGTGAAAATTGGATCTTGTAGCCTTGAGTGTGGATCCCGGTTTTAAATGTTGTTCCTGTTTTGACTTGTTTTGACTTAAACTTGGCTTTAAAGCATTGTTTTTGTTTTGACTTTTGGATTACGGACTAGTTAAATTTTAAATCGTGCATTGGAAAGCATAAAGGTCAATGTTCGATGACTAATGAAAAATGGCATAAATTATTTGAAAAAGTAATTAAAATGGTTAAAAAGACATTTTTTGAACTGGTGTATATTAATGGAAAAACACTTTTAAAATTGATGATGGTGAAGTGGTTTACTAAGAATAAAGAATGGTTCTAGAAGGGATGGGGTAAAAAGAAAAAGAGGATGGACAAATTGAACACAATTGAGACAAGTGCGGAGAATACCTTTGCGTGGAAGAGGGAGATGGAGGAATACGGAGTATATGCTAACTTTACCAAAAAATAAACGAAGATTACGCGTTAAGGAAGAGTAAACGAAGGAAACATTACACAAATATCATGACCTTTTAATGAGGGATTTGATTCTTGCTATTTGAATGGACTAGTGGTGGGAGATTGAGTACTCTTCAACTTGTGGACTTGCTTCATTTGGTTCACTTGTTTAATTTGATATTAACACCATGATAAATTAATTAATAACTAATACAAAGGTCGTACAAAAAAGGACCTACAAATAAACGCTTAGCACTATATTGAATTGTTGATGTATTGCTATTTGCTAAATATGGAGTAAAGCTTAGTTTTTATATAATGATCCTATAAAAAATTAATAATGATATTCAATAGAACAAACAATTATGTTGATAAATTATTCGAGTATGTGTATAGTGTATATTAATTGAAGTGAATCGGGTAGATTATCATCAAAATCACACGCTCACAATCGTACCTTAACATGACCTAAAATTGACCCAATTTACTAATGTAAGTTTCATAGGTTTTCTCTACGGCCTTATTCTCTTCATCATATATTTTTTGAACTTAATTTAATTTTGCTTAACTTAATTATATTTACTGAAATTAAACTAGTTGTACATACCTTAAATAATTTTACCCACCTTGAATTATTTTAACTGGTTCTCTATATATTTGTTCTTTAATGTTAATGGCTTTTAACTGATTAAAACTTGTTTTTGTTAAACGTTAACTTGTTTATAACGAATCATGAAGTATTTGTTTAAGATGAAGAGAAAAAAGTCTAATCTTTTTAGAACTATATTGAAACTTAAACCGTCTTTTTAAATATAATTGGAATTGGCCTCTTGTTTGTTTTGACTTTTATATGACGGTTTTCTCATTAAAAAGGCCAATACGGAAAAAAAAAAATTAGAAATTGAGAGAGTAAACTATGTTTATGACATCTAGTTATAGTAATGTGGAATTTTATGGATACATTTGGGCATCTATCAATATATGGAGTATACAATTATACTTGTGAAAAGGTAGAATATATTCATATATGTATGACATCTGATAATAGTAACATGGTATTTTATTAATTGATTGATTTGTAGACTGTAGTGGATGCAACTATAATGAGACTATGATGTGATCATTTGGTTGGATTAAAAATACACAATAATTTAATTTGTTCACACATTAAAGCAGAAAACTATAAAGCTCTTTACAGTAGTTGAGAAAACGATGCAGCAAGCAATGAAAGGAATTGTTCATATATTCCTCCTATCTAAGATCTAACTTCCACTTTGCTTAAGATTTAGGAAGCTAGGTTTGGTTCAATAAGAGTTATAAGAAGATTAAGAACTCATAAAACTGTGGGTTAGATTATATTTTAGCTAAAAGAAAAACTATACCCAATTCACACAATTTAAGTTAATATTCTGTGTCAATTAAATTTTTTTTACGGAAATTTCATGATATACCACTGAGTTTCTTCAAAATTCACCATATACCACACAAAATCTTTTAATTCACCATATACCATTCAGTTTAGGTCCGTTAGCACAGTATAGCATTAATGACAACTGCCGTCAGTGTGCCGTTTGGGGTAAATTACCAGTATGCCCTTACGAATTCAACTGGTGCCATTGTTAGGGTTGACTTCCCCAAACACAACGTTTGTCTTCAAAAAATTGACCCCCATCTTTCTTCTTTTCCATTCAAGAAACTCTCTGTTCTTCTTCGCTGATCTGGAACCCTAAAAATCCATCAAAAATTTGCAAAGTGTCGATTTTGTGAAGTGAACTGCAAGTAGGAAAGAAAATTGGGAACGACGGTTGAACTTAGTGGCTGTTTGACGAGGTTTGTGAGGCAGCGTGGTGGTCGTGACTGAATTTCGCACAAAGTTCGCTAATTCGGTGGATTAAGCATACACAAGGTATTACTATCCTTATCCATTTGCATTTCGAGTTCTGATTTTGTTGTTTTTTTGCAAAATTGAGTTAGGGTTAGGGTTTGGTGGAAATTGATCATCTGTGTCAATTTGTTTGCTATGAAATTCGAATGTGAATTATGTGAAAGTTAAGTGTGTTGTGTTGCCTGCGAATTTGAATTATGCTAAAGTGATGTGTTTTTGTTTTGTATGCGATTTATAGTTTGGATTGTGATGTAATGTGTTGTTGGTAAATGTTGTTGTTAGGATGAGTGCAATGTGGTTGGTAGTTCGTGCTCCAGGGGGTACTTTTGATGTGAGGGTAGATGACACTGATAAGATCAATTTGATGGAATTGATTGAGTATATGTTTGAGGATTCAGTGAAACAGAACGTATATCTCCCTAAATACTTCACCCTGCTTGTGAGTAAACCTAGAACAAATCGTAAGTTAGAGTTAGTTGATGATGGGGCAATGTTGAAAATGTGGGAGTGGAATGAAGGGAAGGATGAAATTGAAGTGTTTATAGAAGAGACAGAAACACCATCTCTTGTGTTTCAGTCTGTAGAAGCTAGTTGGGCAAAAACTTTGAAGAACAGGGCTGAAAATATTAGGCTAATGGAGGAAGAGAATAGAAGGAAAGCAGAGGAAGCAGAAGCTGAGGAGCAGCTTTTGGCCCAGCAGGCATACACTGTGGCTGTAGAGGTCCCTGTTGTGGATGCTGATGATGATGGGATTGAATATGTAAGAGTGTTTGCTACCCCAGCAGCTGATGAGGTGTTTCCAGGGGATTCACAACCTCAACCCTCACAACCTCAACCCTCACAACCTCAACCCTCACAACCTCAACCCTCACAACCTCAAACATCTCAACCAAAAAACCCTCCAAGAAGCAAAAAGCTTACTCCAAAGAAGAAGAAAAAACCCCCAGGACAGTCAACTCAACACAGACAGCCCACACCTACATCACCCAATGTTCCCCAACAGCAGCCTTCCCCACCACAAACACCAATAGACCAACCCAGGCAGGCTACACCCCCTCCACCACAAACAACAGACCAACCCAGGAAGCCTACACCCCCTCCACCACAAACACCAACAGACCAACCCAGGCAGCCTACCCCCCTACAGCACAACCATCACACCCAACAGCTAGAAGGCCTAGGCAACCAACCCAGCCCAAAGCACAAACCAGGCTTAAACCCAAAGAATGGAGGGTGCCTAGAAGCACTGCTGTTAAGTTTGGCCTTGATGTTGGCAAGAAAACTGCAGCAGGGAGGCAAATCAACACTAGGAGCAAAACAAAATTGGTGGTTGAAGAAATTGATGTTGAGTCTGATGGTTGGCCTTCTAGTGATAGTGAAGATGGTGATTATGAAGCTTCTGATGTTGAGGTTGATTCTTATATGGAGTTGGACATTGAGGATGAGTACATTGTGAGAGAAGAAGATGTTCCTGATAATATACATGAGAATACCTTTGAGGATTACTTAGATGGGTCTCATGTGTTAGATAAAATGTACAAAAATGGTATAATTTGGTCTCACTCACCATTTGGATCCATTGTTCTTGAGGAGTGGTTGATTTTTGAAACCAAAACACAGTTTCTAGAGGTATTCAGAGATTACTGCATATAAGAGGGCTTCTCTGTTTCAGTTGACTATACTGACAGTAAGAGGTACATAGCAAGGTGTTTGATGAGGGATTGCACTTGGAGGATTCATGCTTCAGTTCTAAGAGACAAAGTCAGTTGTGCCATAAAGAAGCTAAAAGGAGAGCATGCAACTTGTGGGAGGCTGGAAGAGAATCCTATGGTCTCTTCAGCATGGCTATGCAGACATTTGCTTCAAGACTTAGAGACAAACCTAGATGTCCCAGTTGAGTCATTGCAGAGGCTGTGCATGGAAAGGTACAGGATCACTGTGAAGTTGAGATTGTTATACAAAGTGAGGAGTTTAGCCAGGGAGCAATTACATGGTGGGTTTGCTGAGTCCTATGCAACTCTTCCAAAGTATGCTGAAATGATAAAGTCCACAAATCCTGGGTCATATGCCCTTATTACATGGACTGGCAGTGAGGATCACAGTTTGAAATTCAAGGCATGTTTCATATCTTTTGCAGCTCAAGTTAGAGGATTCTTAGGGGGTTGTAGACCTATCATAGGAATAGATGGTGCACATTTAAGTGGGTATTACAAAGGGATTATGCTCACTGCAGTTGCAATTGATGGGAATAATGAGATCTTTGTGTTAGCATATGGGATTGTTGACACAGAGAGCATAGATTCCTGGACTTATTTCTTCAGAAACTTGAGGTGCCTGTTTGCTTAGTGTGGATCTCAGAAGGATGACTGGACTTTTATCAGTGAAGGATGAGGGTAAGTTTCTTCTTTGTCTTTAATTTGTGATTATGAAGTTGTTTACTAACTACTCTACTTTTGTTTAGGGGGTTGAATCAGCATTGTTTGAGGTGTTCCCAAGAGCTACAAGGAGAGTATGCTGCCAGCATTTGTACTCAAATTGCAAGGCTGCAGGATGGAGTGGGACAACATTTCATAAGTTGTTTTGGATTGATGCAAATGCCTACAATGAGTATGTCTTTGGAAAAGCTATGTCAAAGATAAAAGAGTATGATGCAGCAGCATTTGATTATCTGACAAAGGTTGAAGAGCAATGGAGTGTGCACATGTTTGACAGGACAGTTTGTTGTGATCATAACACAACAAACTTCGTAGAGTCATTCAATGCCATAACAAAGGCCAACAGGGACATGCCTGTGTTGACATTGCTGGAAGGTAAATTTGGTTCCCTGTTTTGCTCATTTCAATGCCTGTGCACATGGTTGACTTTTTTTTTTTTTTTTGGAATGATTAAGCTGTCAGGAATTGGTGCATGAAAAGGATGGGTTCCAGGTTTGATAAAGCAGTGGCCATGGATCCTCATGAGCTGACAGAGCATGCAAAGGGGGTTTGGAGACTAGGACTGATGAGTCTAGGTTCTGCCATGTCACTGCAGCTGGTGGTGGAGAGTTTGAGGTGAGGGATGGCTATGTCAAGTTCCCTGTCACCCTTGGAAATATGACTTGTGGGTGTGGGAAATGGCAAGGATCAGGGATCCCATGCAAGCATGGTCTCAGGGTCATTTACAACCAGAGACTTGATCCTAGGGACTTTGTGTCTCCTTTCTACAAGGGGGCTGCATATAAACAGACTTATGGAGACCACATCCACCCCATGGCTGATCCAACTCACTGGCCTTCACTTGATGTGCCAGAAATTGCACCTCCCCAAGGGAAAAGAAATGCAGGCAGACCACCTAAGCAAAGGAGAAGAGCTGCTCATGAAGCAAAAAAAGGGAAGAGGCACAAGAACAACAAATGCAGCCTGTGCAAAGAACTAGGACACAATGCAGTGACATGCAAGGCAAGAAAGGCAGCAGCAAAGAAGGCAGAACATGCAGCTTCCTCTTCACAGCAACCCAACACAAGGGGGAAGAAGAGAAAGGCTGCTACTTAGCATTGTTGAAGCTAGTTGTGAAGTGTAATATTTTGGTGAACACAACTCAGTGTCCTGTGTTTTTGAACAAAATGTTGCAGCTAGTTGTGAAGTGTAAATTTTTGCTACTACTTGGTTTATATGGCACTTCTTATTTAATGTATGTAATGCTAGTACTCAACAATTATGTAGGCATATTTTTTTGACAAACAATGTTACCAATTTAAGTACAACTTATTTAAAATACAAAATATTTTGTCTTACATTTTTCATTTTAAGGCTAGAAATACAATAAACACAAACAAAATTGCTCCTATTTTAATTGCTCCATTCACTATCTTTTGCTGTTTTGCTACTTTTTTCTTTAGCTCCTTCAACTCATGCTTCAACACGGTCTCACTTCCATGCGTGGTATTCCCTCCCCTGCTTTGATTTTCATAACCCCACGAGACATTTTCATCAACATTGCCTTTGCACCATCTGAATGTATCACAAACATCACACTTGTAGTACAACCTTTGTGGATTTTTTGCCGAATCGGAGCTTCTTATTGCAAACTTCCTACCACAAGAACATGCTTTGTTTGGCACCCTTACATACGATGAATTAAAAGAAGACGACGATGATGATGATCTTGAGTTTGTTGACATCTTTGCAAATGCTTTTAGAGGTTAGAGGTGTGCCTTGGTACGTGACTCCTTCAAAAATCACATATATATGCACAAACTAGCCGTTACACTCTTCCAACGGCTACATTTTTAAAAAAAAATGGTATTTCATGCAAAATAAAATAAAGTAATGGTATACGGTGAATTAAGAAATTACCCCAAACGGCACACTGACGGCAGTTGTCACTAATGCTATACTGTGCTAACGGACCTAAACTGAATGGTATATGGTGAATTAAAAGATTTTGTGTGGTATATGGTGAATTTTGAAGAAACTCAGTGGTATATCATGAAATTTCCGTTTTTTTTAATCGAGTTTGAACGAAAACAGTTAATCTTGAAAACACGTCCTTGGTTGTTCAAACTTTAACAATTTTTTAATGGGGCTTGTTCCGGATAAGACCCGACAACCCGTATCCGAGATCCGTGATGACCCTATCGTCCAACTGAGCACCTACACAGGAAACAAGGATTAGCTAACCCCGCGGTGAATTCGGGGATAACCACTCCGATGGTAAAGTCATAAAGTGTTTAAGAAGAAGAAGAAGAAGAAGAAGAAGAAGAAGAAGAAGAAGAAGAAGAAGAAGAAGAAGAAGAAGAGAAGATATCAAGAGAGTGATTAAGAGAATTAGAGAGAGAGAGAGAGAGAGAGAGTAATAAATGCTACCTCTTTATGAAGATCTAACTTTCCTATTTATAGAAGACCCACCTGCCAGGTGGCTGCATGCCATGCAAGTAACATTCATGCCAAGTATTGTTCGTCTGACGCCACGTGTTGCTCATCAGACGACCGTTAGTTATGCCGTTTTGAGAATTTGCCGATATATTCATTATGCCGATATATTCATTATGACTTGTAATAGGAACCCGTTGAGTCTGTGAAAAAGGTTGATATCGGCATTTATTTATCCGTTATCGGTACCTCCCCATACAGGGCTATTGATGACCAACTTTAATTTCAATCATCACTACCCTAATATCAAAAAGGAGGGTGACGAATTTCAGTCTACAAATTGAAGGGCTAGGGGCATGGAAGAAGGTGAATACGTAATTGAGTGAGGATGCATGGAGCGGTCCTTAGAAGGTTAGAGCCATTTAGTTAGGGGGATGCATTTACGGCATATTGGCATGGCTTATTCAACTTCATTGGAAGAGGCGGCATTAGCATGTATACATGCAATTGAATGGTTAGTTCTTTACTCAAGAAATGGATTCTCATCTATACAAATTCTATAATATATATTTTTAAGTGCATGCAACTAGCGAGCCTAGCATTAATATAATAAATTAATAATGTTCATATTTAAAGACAAGTCTTTTAACATATGCTTTATTACAAGCTCAAACATACGTGATATGATCGATCATGAACAAATTTATAAATGTTGGTACTACCTTTGCTTTTATGTCATTATTGTTTATTTGTTTACTTGATCTTTTCTTGATTTCAAAGTTTTTCGAATATCAAATAAAACCACCACCCTAACGCTAACACAACCCGCCCCCCTAAGAGCCATCTTCTTTTATTTCTTTAATACACTACACCACTTACACCAAGGTCACCAACACACACATGCATCCTCAATTCCTCATAGTCAAAGGCCTCAAATCAAGTACCATCACCATCATAGCTAGAGAACTACAACTGTATTCTAGCTCTATGTTATTAACATACTAGCTACTTATAATATAATAGTTATATAAATCCTACGTTTGTTATATACGTAGTGTTTGGGTCCAATTTAGTCAAAATTGGGCCTAGGCACTAAATGATCCAATTAAAAGCCCAAGGTCAAGGTTCAACTCTCCAATTGCTCAAAAGTCAAAGGTCAGCCCACAAAGTAAGCCAATTGGGCTAAAGCCCAATCTCTCCATGTATGATGAGGTATAAAAGCCATCATATTGACACATTCAAGAGGGGACATGACACATACATTCATATTCCAATTCATATGCTCATTCTTGCATTCGGAAATATTCCACAAAAGCCTCAAGCTACAAACTCTCTTGCATAGTGTCTTCCTTTTACACATTGTACTGACTTTAGCATCGGAGGGGCCTTCCTCGGAAACACCCCCGAGGCTAGTTTACGTGTGTTCACTGTGCAGGAAACCTTCGGCCCAACACAACTTGGACCGAATCCAGTCTTCTCCATCTCAGCGGACCTTCGGCAAGGTCCCATTGTTTTCAACCGAAACAATTTGGCGCCGTCTGTGGGGAAGACTTTCAAAAATCTTTAAGCCAAATTCCTAACCAAGATCATCTTGCAATTATCTTAGCAGCCATGGCTAAGAACCGCAAGAGCAAAAGCCTCCGTCAAGGAGCGGGCGAAAAGCCTAAGACCCCATCGCCCTCGCCGGACCGGAACTCTCCCAAGGGTGCCGGCTCGGGGGGAGGATCACACAAGGAGGATTCCCTATCTCCTATAATGCATGACTCTCAATATAGGCCGGACCACTCTCGGTCTAGCAGGGGTCAGTCTGATCATAGGACATATTCAGTGTCCCAAAGCCAACCATCGGCTGCACGGCCTCATTACCACACTCGGCCGGGGACCCCTTTGACGGGGCCCAGTTCGGAAGAGGTGGCAAGAGCGCTGGCAGTACTCATGGAGGCAATGAGGGCACAGAATATGCCACCGCCTCGTGATCAAACTCCTCCGCATACCCGGCATCAGCGGAGGAAGTTAGACCATGACGGTGGGAAGCTTCCTTCCTTCCGGGAACTGGAAGAGTGGGAGGAGGATTCTTGGAAAAATGAAAAACAGAGGAAAAAGAACTCTCAATTATTTAAAGGATCCTCATCCTCAAGACCAGCAGCGCATAAGAGCAGCAGCTCAGCTTCTCGGCCAGAATCTACTCGCCGGGAACCCGAGACTGCTCGCAGAAGCGTCCTTGACCGACTCGGCGGCCAGGAACCGAGCGTGCGTAGTCGCCTCACGTTCCCTGCAGCCGAGGCCCAGACTTCCCAGCCAGGGACGAAAACCACTCCTACCTCTCTAAGAGGGCGGAGCGCGGTCCCTTCGGCCAGGAACAAGGGCAAGGCCATTATGCTTCCCGCTAGTTCACCATTCGAGCAATGGATACTGGAAGAGCGCGTACCCACGGTTAAAATACCGTCGCATATCACATATGACGGGACCACGGATCCGAAGGACCACGTGGCCTCGTATGAGACTCATATGCATCTTTGCCCCAGATCCGAGGCGACTTGGTGCAAATATTTCCCAACCACTCTCAAGGGGGTCGCGCAAGCGTGGATCTCCAAGGGAGTAAGGCAAGGCTCCATAACAGGTTGGGATGATCTGTCCTCCAAGTTCAGGAGCAAGTTTTCCACGGCAAACCGCCGAGAGAAGACTACCGCAGAGCTCATGGGTCTGCAACAGGGGGAAACCGAAAGCCTCCGAGACTACCTGACCCGTTTCAGTAACGAGTCATCAAGCGTCTCTCAGCTGGACCAGGGGCTAGCTGTTTTTGCAATGCAGAATGGCCTTCAGCCAGGAAAATTCCTAGACTTCATGGTCATGCATACCCCGCAGACCTTGGAGGAAGCTCTTAGTGCTTCGGATAAGTTCATCCGAGCCGAAGAATGGAATAAAGCAAAAACCCAACCTCAATCCGGGGGAGGGAAACAGAGGCAAATACCTTTGTCTGAAGGCCAAGGCCATAAGGCAAAGGGAAAATCAAAGGCTCCGGAGCCATCTCCGGCCAGCGACCCAAAGAAGGACAGGTTTGCCTCGTACACAGGCAGATATGAGTCCTACACTCCGCTCTCTCTTCCACGCGCCAAAATTTACAGTGTGACGAAGGAGGAGCAGAGTTACCGAAAGCCGAGACCACTCCCAGAGTGGTATCAGCGAAAAAATAAAAATCAGTGGTGTGAGTTCCACGAGTCTTCGGGCCACAACACTGAGGAGTGTATCCAGCTGAAGGACCAGATAGAGGACATGGTCCGGAAGGGATACTTGAAAAAATACATCGCGGATCACCGCGAGAAAAAAGAATCCGAGAGGCTAGCAAAGGACCCTCGGCAGGACCTTGATTTCCCCCGGAAAAACAGTAAAAAACCGGAGGGGAAATTCCCTCCGATCAATGTTATCTCGGGAGGAATATACTCTCGGAGGGAGCACAAGCGTCACCTTAGAGCTTTGACTCACCAGGTGAACAACGCTGACATTCAATCTCCCCAGTCGCCGGTGCCGAACATGACGTTCACAGCCGCCGACTGCCGGGGGATTACGTACCCTCACGAGGATCCGTTGGTGATCATCGCCACGGTGGCCAACCACGACGTCAGTAAGGTCCTTGTTGACGGTGGCAGCGGAGCAAACATTCTGTTCCGAAAGGCCTACAA